GTAATGAAATCGTAGTTAACATAGAGACTGTTTACTGGGCATCATACATTATGATGAAATGACCTGCTTCTGTTCCTAAACTAAAAACTAAATATTCATAGTCATAATGATAAGGTTATTTATGTACGGGTTATTTATGTTTCAACTTATTAAAACAAAATAGTGATACGTATGCAAATTCACTAACATGAACACACTAACACACACTTAATACAGACAAATGATCAAATACTAACACATGATCGCCAGGTGTCGTGATAACATTATTGCCTTCAAAGTGATCTGTTTCTTTTCTCTCTCGATATGTTGTCATTCTATGAGAATAATTATTAGACACTGATTATTTATTAATAAACTTATTTATGATTATATATATATATATAATAATAATAATCAATCCTTGCACGTGCAAATGAAAAACTAACTTAAGAATAACATTTCAGCTTATTCGGTGGTAATTTCAAGTTAGCCTAAATGATTATTTGCGACTCCATTAACTAACACGATTTAAAAATTTATTATATGGGATCATTATCACAGTTTTAGAATTAAATAAAGACGTGTATACTTTTCGAAAACAGTGAATTGTTTGCTTCTTAGCGTAATGAACTGAAATACTTTGATAATTTTCTCCCATCAATACCGTGTGCTTATACGTTGGTAGCATCAGTTTTATAGTGACACCTAGCGGTGCTATGACTGTATTACGATTTTGTGTCTTTTTTTCAGGGCTTAGTTAATATATAAACTCTCTACTGTCGTATTTCTAACCATAATGATAATATATATATTTATATATATATATTTTTACAAAACTGATGATACTTTGAGATACAGTAAATGAGGGCAGTGCCGACACCAGGTTTCTGAAAGAAGGGGGTGAGGAGGTGGCAGACAAATGGGCTGGGGGGGGGGGGGGGGTTGATAAATAGAAGGAAACCTACAGAAGATAAATTAATAATCTCCAAGGGCTAACCAGAGATTGGATAATGTTTTGCTGGATGGGTTTTCTTTTGTAGAGTTGCCTAGTAACTGAAGACATAGTATTCTGAGATATTTAGCTTTTACTAAAATTTTAGGAGAAGCAGGCAGATTTCAGGAGAAGTGTCGCCACTGAATGATAGCAATGTTCAAAATGAGCCTCGGTTATTTTCAATTTAGTGTTAGATGTGAAACACTGAATCTTAGCGAAGCGATGAAACCAGTAGGCCTAAATAGTTTTAATTAAAAAAATAACAAGCTTGAAATTTTAATATCATAGCGTGAAGATATTGGTTCTTAAATTCATATTGGTTTTTAAACCAGTATTTCATTGTATTATTTTCTAAAGCTAGGAAAAAAGTTATCAAATACTGATTACAACTAACAAACTATGTTTTCTTTTTGAATATCATTACAAATCCTTTACATTGAAATAAAATTAACTTTCTATTCCAATAAACCAAATCGCTGTCAGACGTTCACTATTTCTACTTCTAGTAACAGGTTCTGGGAATGGATTGTTCTTAGATTCCACCTGGAAGACTTTGATGTATCTATCATTTCAAAGAGTTACAGAGGTGACAAAAACAACAACAAAAACAGCGTGTTCACATTCTAAGGAAAATCACTTAAATAACGGAATTAAAACAAACCTCAAACAGAACTTCAGTTTTAATCTGCCAACTTTGACCATAGTTCAACAACAAATATAATGTATTGAGTATAAATCTCTATTTATTGATAATCGAAATAAGATTCATAGGGGAAAAAAAATGGCTTCGCATAAAACCTGAAAAAAAAACAAGTTTAGAGAACATTTTTTAACATCTATAAATGAAGTTTATACAAAAATTTCAAACTCCAAGACCCATTTCGTGAAGTTCAAGATTCACAAAACTACGATAATGTGTATGTAAAAAACAACAACAACAAAATATGATCCTTGCAAAACCCAAGTAACGTCTTAGATAACCAATAGTCAGCTACTCCCAGCTGTAAATGTAGACAAATACATTTTGCAACTTTGTGAAATATAATAATAGTTTATATATATATATACAAGAAAAAAATTAGTACACTTGTCCCCATTTTCTATTTTACTACTTGTTTTGTTTACATACATCGGAAAAATTAGCACATCATCCCCCCTGTTATTACTTGTTTACATACGCCTGGAAAATTTGCAGATCTACCCCTCATTCTTTTGCCTTTTTTTCCTCTAGTGTTTACGTCTTTTTAAGAACAAACATTTATTTCATCACATGGCTCTGCATTCGTTGTTTCGCACATCTAGATATATACTAAATGTTTACAATCAGTAATGAATTTCAATCCATCAGTCGAACGGTTTAAACCGTTGAAAAGTTTCCAAAGATTTGTTCGTTTAAAATAATTCGTAATATATTTATAGCAGTAAAGTTCAACTCTGTATATTTTTTGTATTAATCGGCAATAGTCAAACTGTTACTTGTCAAAACACGTTTTGTTTCGTATACTAAGCATTATTTTAAAATGTATAAGAAGACTATCACGAATCTTCATGATAGCTCTTTGTTTCCCAAATTTAAGTCTCTACTGCAAACAAGCAGAAGTTGGGGAAAATATTTCATTAATTCTCATATATAAAATGATTAGTTTGTAAAAGAATAGAACACTGGACTCATTTATATAATACCAAGCGGCTCTTAAGTCTTCATTAATTGTCATGCTTCTAAAAAAAATCATAAAAATGCATTCCGCTTTGTTTTCTATACATATAAAAAATACTGAACAAACATTTGGACTTGTGCTTACAACAAATTAGGTCGTCAAAGATATGGGCACTAGTTGAGTGAAATGTTATGGTGTGTACGCCTTTTACAAATCAGTGAAAAGTGATTACAATTACATTTATTGAAAATCTCTGAAGGACTAGATTAAGAATGAAGTGCTTAAAAATGTGTTAGGCCTAATTCTAACATGAAATGATCATTTGAGGCATTATGGGAAATATTTTAAGATGCATCCAGTTACTTGCGCTCTTTTGAAGTCTCTGACTGTTATTTAGTTAGTCATCAGCTGTTGAGATTGGAGGCATGGAAAAGTTCTTAAATCGTTAACGACTTCAATAGGCTTGCGTTCGCGTCCTTAACCTAATATTGGTTTTAATCGTATTTTACACACACATGGATGAAAGGTTGATGATACCCGTGCAACGCTTCGCTCTAACTATCTATCTGATGCACATTACATCACACGTTAACATCGACGCCTTCACCTTAACACACACACACGAGAAGGATATTCTATAATCAAATTTAACTACAAGTTGTCGAAGGAGTGACCGTCACAACCTCTTTGCACCTGCGTTAATACGCAATGATTCATATTAATACTATGCCCGTTTAATCAAAGTGTGATGTGTAAAACATTAACTTTTTATTGTATAATAAAGTCAGGTTTTGTTATAGCGAACAAGCATGAAACATTTGGCATAACCGCGTTTTCTTCGGGTCAGTGTTTAGCAATATGAGTGAGCCTTTATTGATGTTACAATTAAGCCTACGACAACTAAATGTGCTGAGAAATAATCGCAAAGTATCTAAATAAAACGCAATGCACAAATGCCTTAAAACAACTACTCTGTTTCACAAGTTATAGTCCTCCGTGACCTTAACTACATGACAAAAGGACTAGAGGATATAACCTTCGTGGGGACTTTACACACATAGGGGCTTATTTCAAGTTCTATAAGTTACGGAAAAAATACAGATAAAAATATTTTTCTTATTTACTGAAAATAGTTTGTTACGCTGAACTATTTACACCGTCACATTTTCTCTTAGATTAGGTTCACTTCACCCGCAACGCAAAACTTAACCAAGTTGTTTTATTATATAATGTGAAGTGAGAGTTTTAAATGTTCGTTGTATGATTAATCACCTTTAAGTGATATTTTAAATTGTTCTTGAAAAAAAAACACGTCAATTGATATATTTTATACAAAGTCCATTAGAAAATATCTCTGTATTTATTTTATGTTTAAAGAACATTTCTAGTATTTTTACCGAGCTTTTATGAAACAGACCTGGCTATAATAGTCAAGTTTCAAAACGTAGTACGGCAAAAATTAGCGGTTCGTTCAACTCTAGAAAGTTCTGGGAATTTGTTCCAAATATAGCGTCAACAGCTTAAAAACGAAGCAACGAGCAGCACCAGTTAGAAAAGGTGATATCATCATTGTTTGCAGGACAGGAAATATTTTATTTACGGAGCACTGAGTTTGATTTAAATCAGACATTTATAAAATTATTTGTTTCGACGAATAAACTTATAACTTGCGTTTTCACACTTACACGATTTATCACTAAAATGGATGGGTTAATGTTATTTTCCTTGGCGTAAAATGGTTTCGATATTCACTGTTTACAAACCTTGTCTATTGAGGGCTTGGACTGACGTCATAAACGTCACGCAGTCTATACTTTATTCCGCCATATTATACGTTTAGTACTTACATTTGTCTTATGGAGAATATGACAAATTCGTCTTCAAATATCGTGTTATTAGTCACTGTAAGTTATCTCAGCGATATGCATAGAGATATATCGAGAACCTGACAACATGTAAAACTTTACAGTATCTTGTAAGTGATATGGACTGCTGTTGATTGTTAGAAGGGAAAGTTTGACATCCAATATGGCGGCACCGAATGAAAGTTTTGTGACGTCACGTCCAAGATATCTGTATTATTTGGCTGGAGACGGCTTAAATGGGTAATGAAGAAAATATTTAATATAAGTTTAACATGACAGCAAATGTACAACGTTTCGACAAGTTTTTGTCATCATCGGGTCCCGATGATGACAAAAA